CAGAAAGTGGAAATGAAAACAGACAACAGAACATTGCTAGAGAGCAGGAAAGGAGGTGAAAGGAGACAATTTTAGAGAAGAAAATTTTTTGGTCGCTACCCGGATTCGAACCCGGGACCTTTGAATGAGAGGCCAACACCTTAACCTCTAGGCCACGAAAGCCCCCTCATTCTCATCTCATTCACAACCAAAACAATTTACTCACTAACGATCACAGCCATCTGTAAACATAATGCTCTTGAACCTTATCCGTACGTCGAGTTTTACTATCGTATCCAAGAGATCTTCACACTAGAAGTATTCTAAAATGTAAAGAATGCAACCCTGGGGGTACAAAATTACCCCAGGGCGTATGAATAGGGTTAAAGATCCCACTTCCACTAGAATGTTTCACCTGACATGTACGGCACTGCCGCATCGACCAATGAAAACTCACCTGAACACAGCCCTCGACCAATCACAGCCAACTTTGAAGCCATCAGCACTGAAATCAGAGAGAGAGACAGGCACAGATTTAACAACTTAGGCAGATTCCTGCAAACGACTACCTCAGCCTCTCATCACACTGCATTCAGTTGTCATTTCTTTCATTATTTGTAAATTATCTAAAAATTTGGGTGGTTGGCGGCTGCTCTGGTGTGGTTTACTCCTTCTTTCCTATCAAGCATCTATCGTCCTTATCTCTCCTCCTTTTTTTTGTGTGTGTTTGTTACTCTACAGTAAGACCTCTAACCTTCACCACTTACGCGACCTTCATGCGGTGTAAGTGTTGTAAAACTCTTAATAAAACACTTACTAAAGTATCGAAATTCTTTTCAAACCACAGGGCTTTCATCAGTTGTGCTAGTTCAGTGCATTGTGAACGCGACATGTAAGAGTTAATTTTAATACAAGTTATACTGCACTTGTAACGTAATTAGGTCACATGAGTGCCGAACATTAGAGGTGTTATAAGAGAGTAGGTTTTAGAAAGAGTTTTTTATTTATTAATAGTAGAGGGTTTTACGGCGCTCGCAACTGCATAAGGTCATATGAGCGCCAAGGGGTGGGTGTCAACAGAGAAGTCTTTACAGGGAATCAAACTTACTCTGCTCACCTCTCTAGCTTCAACAGCACAAAGTCTGCTTCGACTATCAAGGCACCCCAAAAATAGCAGGTCACAAGAGAGTGACAAACATACAAAAGAAGTAGAGGAAAAAATGACAATAGTAAGGATTAGGAAAGAAAAAGCAGCAGTTCCCTGTTGCAGATCAGGCACAGTTATGAGTGTGACATGAATCAGCCCATTTACAATTCTACTGTGCTTGAACGGGAAATGTCCCCCCTATGGGAATGGCCTAAAGACACTACAGTCAGTGGCACTACCCCGCGGGGCAGAAAGAGTTTTATAGCACTAGCAACACTATGAGGTCATAATTAGTGTTGAAGATCCGACGATAGGGACGATGGAAGTTTGATAGGAATGAAGGAGCAAACCTCACCAGTGCCTCAAATATAAATACAACATAGTTTGAGTTGTTGGTTTGCAGCTAAGCTTACAGTACATATGTATACAGAGCTGCCCACCCACCAGCATCTATTTTAGTATTCAACAAATATAAATTTAGTAATCTGTCTTCAAAATTCATAAAATGTCTTCGACACTTCTAAAGTCTAAGGTTTTTCTAAGTTCAAAGTGGCACTGATCGACTACAAGGGCTCAGTGCAGAGAGGGCGTCAAAGTTAGATCTGCATGAGACATTGTGATGATCTGATCGTCCAGGTCTGGTAGTTTTTCTTCACTTTCACACCAGAGAGGTTGGCAGTGGATTTAGTTTTTACTTTTAGTAGAAGTTTTACGGCGCTCGCAACTGCAAAAGGTCATATGAGTGCCAGAAGAATAGAGCTGTTACAAGAGAGTAACAAACATAA